AAGGGGCTGTATCTTAACAAGGGATGCTCCAATGAAATTTCTTTATATGAAAGATCCTATCTTTTTTTCGATGAGGAATCACCTCCTTGAATGTTTTACACTTATTTAGTTACACCCTGTATATTGACCTTTCAACTTCGATAGATATTATCGAAGAAAATGAGGACACAGAAGCATTGTTCTGAGTTTCTACGTTGTTCTTGGTATTATTGTGAGGAAATTGATGGAATATATCAAAAATTGCATCTGCAGCAGCCAGCACGTGTCAACAGAACTGACATCCGCTATTTGACATCGCTCGCCTGCATGTTTAACGAATCATCGTTCGAAAATTGAATGAATTGAGCATCGAAGTTCTGCCTCTTCCACCATACTCTCCAGACCTTGCGCCGATAGACTAACATCTTGTGTTTGACAAAACCTTCGTCAATCAGGACCAGGCAAAAACGGCTTTCGTTGACTTCATTTGTACCTACGTCACTTTGTCGATATAAGTAAAGTTTGTTCGTAGGTGGTCGACAAGGTTTCATGGTGCATTTCATTAGTTTGGACTTCCATGTTACTTCACGACGTTTCGATTTTTAGTATCTACAATCGTCGTCGGGTGATTAGCTGATCTTTTTAATTTTATTGATCATTTCAGGGATTTCAAATCAATTTATATCACATCATACCATGAAAGTCCGAACTTATGAAATGCAAAGTTGTTTATTCTAGAGGATATGTAATACATACGCTGTAAATATCAACCGAAGAGGGCAGACTTCCACCTTGCTTACTCCATAGGTAAGTTATAGGCTCTTCCAGGTCTGTATTACATTCCAAAACGACAGTTGATCCTCTTGGTGCGGTTTTGATTTCTAGAGGTGGTTCATCCTTGACGTTATCTGTAAAATTAGGAAACGTTAAATAATTTTCCATGAAGAATAATTTTATAGGTACATGTTACTGATGACCTTTTTACCTTAGTTAATAACATGATTATTGTATGTCGAAAATGGTCTTACCAACAACATTGAGAGTGTAGTCCTTGTGATGGACTCCCTGCCGACCAGTTGCTTCACATCTGTAAACTCCAGCGTTTTCAGGCCTCAAGTTCACTATTCTCAAGTTCCCTCCGATACTCTCCACATTATCGGACAAATAGCCGGAAAGTTTGGACCAAACCGTTATAGCACCTCTTTCCGACGATTGGCAAACAACGTCAATATTGTCTCCTACATATCGGTCCATTTCAGGTGGTGAGATATACAGAGTTGGTTCTTGTGTGGAGGGATTCCTATTGTCTGGGCCTAGAATAAGAAGGAGGATTACATAGGAGAGCATGGAGAGACAAGAATGGAAGTGACAGAAGCGAAAGAGAGTAGACGAATACTGACATCGCTCCTATGATATTCCTAACTTCTGCTATACTTAGTTACTTGCATAATTATTGATTCCATTTGTCAAAAAGGATAGTTTCATAGTTGTTTATATTTGTACCAACTGACTAACAGTGATAATAAAAAGGAAACAATTATCGAAAGTAACTATATTATGGACCGATCGTCAATGGTGTGTTGACGATTTTGTTGTTTTCCCGAAACGTTATATATTTGTCAAATAAAATTTTGGAATATCAAGGTCAGAGTCAGATTCCTCAAAATTCCAATTAACATAAGTATTTACGAGTATACAGAATGGAAGAATATAATTAATCTAGAACATATTACAATCAATGGATTAGTAAACACAAAAAGCATTTTACAAATATTTGCTGAACAGTATAAAGATTAGCTGAAATAGTAAATGAATGGACAAAGTTTGATAGATTGAGAATAGTTTGATCCTGAGGATGAGTGATCATGTCGAATATGGCATTATTCACTTGACACTTGAAAAGCGTTTTGTTTTTCAGGCTACATATTATCGACCACGTTCAAGTTTATATGAAATATATAGAAAAACTATGATATAAAAATGATATTATACAGTTATTGTTCAATTCACTATTTTTCTCTCATTCAAATTCAATGACTAAAATTTGAATGACAAATGAATGATTTCTAAGAAAGGACCTCAGGAGATAACAGAGCACCATATGAGATCCAATCCAATATAAGATCCAAATTGAAACAATAACTCATCGATGATGAGTATCTGACTATATGAAGAAAACACCATTTCACACCACATGCGACAGTGTTTTTATTCGGGTGTGAAGAAGTATTTCCATCAGATTCTTCTAGATTTTTCAAATCAAGTTAGGTTAAGCTAGATCAACCCGTGAGGGTTTATGTGCTCCAAATAGAGACGACACACACTGTCTTCCGACAGTCCGAGTCTCTACCTATGATGATTCAGATGAAAGTGAACTAAATCAAGTACTCTCATGACATTTACACTAGATTTTGTTGAAATCATTTTCACATAACATTCCAATGTGCTGTCTGTCTGTCTTCTTCATCTTTTTATCTCATTATGAGAAGCATCTCGCTTAACGGGGCATTCAAAACTAGCGACATCGCATAACATGCCGTAGCGACATCGTAAGAAACCTGTTGCAGTGATATCACAAATCTTATCGCACGAGTAGAACAAATGTGTTCATCTGTGATATCGACACGACATCCTGGTTACTTAGGATGGTGACACACTTCGCGATTTCCGAGCGGTTTTTTCCGCGCGGTTTCCGAGCGAAAATTGCTGAGTAAAAATCACTTCAGTGAGTAACTGACAGCGAGGGATTTTCTGACACTTCCGTGTCGTCTTCTAGTTTCGTTTACGTCTACAAATCAACCACTATGAAATCTGCTGCTGCTGCGATATTTCACCGTCAAACGGTGGTATCCCTTTGCGCTTTGGAGGCAGAAGGCGCTCTTGATGAAAGACGCCACCCAAGAAAGAACGACGTGCACCGAAAGGGAAACCAGGAAGAAAGGTTTTCTTGTATACGAGTGACCCTACTACCCTCCATGCTTTATCTCTTTCCAGTTTGTTGGCACAACCGGAGTCGCTTTTGTCCCACAAACGAGGGTGATTTTCTACGCTATGAATTGAAGTTTCCACTTCCATCATCGAATCGCAACTGAAATACCGATCGGAAATAGCCAACACTGTCGGGCCCCATTCGTTTACCTGGGTTCTCCCTCTACTTGATCGCCCTTGCCCTCCGAATGTCGCTCGGAATCCGACGACCGGTCGGGTGTGAGAAATCACCGCAATCTGCGTCATGTTCCATTTGAATGCAGGGGGTCGCAAAAAAATGAAAAACCGCTCGCTAACCGCGCTGGAAAAAGCCGCTAGGAAATCGCGAAGTATCTCACCGGCCTTAGGAGAGATTTCGCGCGACATATTATAATATCGCCGCAATACTTTGGAGATGTAATCTTGTTTTCTGTGAAGTGGGACGACATGCTATGAATTCACACTAATACCAACTTCCAAATTGCCCGATTTTCCTGGGTTCATTAGCCATGGTCTGCTACTGCGGCACACATTATATAAATCATCATATATAGAGTCTCGAACTGTCGAAAGACAGTGTGTGTTTGTTGCCTTTGTTTGGAAAACGATGAAACAGGAGAGCACATACTCCATGCCTGACACGTTGACGACCAAATCAGGTTTTCAGAGTTTGGCAGAGCCATCTGACCTGAAAGACCACTGACCATACAAACTAATCGGCTTCTGTATACCTACTTCCATTATAGAGTAGGTGTTGGACGACAGACTGCTCTTGTACCTGATTGATCTGACCCTTCTTCGATTGGTGACGTTATCTAAGTCTTGTTTAAGCTCTCTTCCCCATGGTTGAATTCATTTTTAAGTTTATGTATTTCTAAGGCCTCACTGAATAGCCTCGTCTAGTAAACTCTGGTTTCATCAAGAACTTGGGTGCGTTTAAAAACAATGTTATGGCGCTGAGAGAGCTGAGAAAAAGTCTTCTGCAACTGCAGATTCATCTGTCTGTCAACGCTTCTATTCGTGGTTCCGATGTAGAACGAACCACAACTACACGGTTTTCTATATCGTTCTCTTGGGCTTTAAAATTGCCGTAAGTTCTTGAAAAAAACGTTGCCGCTATGGTCAAACAGATAAATTAGCAGTTGCAGAACACGTTCTATCAGAGGCCATGATATTGCTTTCGGATGTATGCAAGGTCTTGATAAAATCAGATGTTACTATCAGGGGGTTATGCAGAGAGGCCATAGACATACAGAAATATTAGAATAATTCCAACCGTAAGGAAGAGAGCTTGAACATCAATGATACATAGATATCGGTACTTTATGACACAAATATTCTCCCACTAATTGAAGAGGAGTCGGACCAAACAGGTATATGAGCACAAACGTACCAGGATCATTTTAACTTTCCGCGTCTCAGTAAGGTAATTCACTTCGACCGTTGCTGCATCGTCTTTGATAGTGTCTGCCGCAGTAACGAGCGAAATGTCTCAAATACACACTTGCAGACCACGGACAATGGACCCGGAAACATCAAACAATTAGTCAGACACTGGCACACACACACACACCGTAATGTCAAATAATATTTGATTATGTGCATAATATCTAGGATCTAGGCTATTACGCGAATGCATTTTTCTGCACCCATTGCTAAATATTTTGATGAATTGACAAATGATTACCATAAATTTGACTATCATTGGCGGTGCTAACTAGTACAGAAACATGCTATTCGAAACTAGCCAGGAAAGTGTGTCCACTGAATGTAAATTTCATTTATCCCATTGTCCACTTTCCTGCCTTGTTACTTGAACAATTATCTCCGTTCCAGAAATTATAATACATCAGAATGTAGCATCTACAGTGGTACAGACACCTAACGTCACGCAGGGCTCGAATGTGCAACGTGAAAATAGAAACAACTAATAGAAAAAGCTGCATGATAGATAAACAAACCCCGTCGTATCCTAGTTGAACAGTCCATTTCATCGCTAGTATCACCGCAATCATTAATGTTGTCGCACAGTTGTGTTTCTGGAATGCAGTTTCGGTTGTTGCAAAGCCACCATCCGTCTTCGCATGACTCCTTATGTGCTGTCGTACATGCAATGTGCAATATTAAACTACCAAACTAGAGAGTTTCTAATATGCCACACAAAAATCAAGACGCATTCAATTGAAACCTTCCCTATTGCGTAAATAATTCATTTTTCATTTTGATCAGTATTTGGTGACACATTTCAATAACGTACAAATATATTACGTTTATATTATCGTTGGGGTGGAGTTATTGAAAGTCGTTCGAATGTTAATTAATGTTCTTTGACAGAGATTGTATATACATGTGATTGGCTTGTTGCTTCTAGCTGGACCGCTACTGGGTGGAACCTCTTATCAAACATGTGAGTGAAAAGTTATATAAACAGGTAGATGAAGTTGCGAAATGGATCCTTTTTTGTGGCAAAATTTTGAGGAAATGGGTGGTTCAGCTCATTCGAATCTGAAGTATGGTTTCTCTACGTTGACGAGAAGAAGATAGCAGTATGAGATTGAACGAAAGAGAAAAGACAGAAAATATGTTGGGGTAGGTTGGGTTAAGTTAGGTCAAAAGTGAGGGGGTCAAAATCGACTCTACACCTCAACTCGCAAGGGTTCATTGTGGATCATACCTATTCACATTCGACTGAATAAACCCAGCTTCGTAACGAAGCCGATTAGTATGGTCAGTGATCTTTCAGGTCAGATGGTTTGACTGCGGCTCTGCCAAACTCTGAAAACCTGATTCAGTCATCAGTGGGTCACGCATTGAGTATGTGCACTGCTGTTCTATCGTTTTCCAAACAGAGGCAACACACATTGTCTTTCGACAGTTCGAGACTCTGTACGTGAAGATTTAGATGACAGTGACTTATAAGAAGGTCTGTTAGACATCATAGTCCATTCCTACTGTAAGTAGTCCAACAACTATTTGGTATCAAGCTTCGAAGATTGAATAAACGCCTTGGAGTAGCCATTTCTGAAAGATTCTGCCAGAAAACACCATTAACCTTCTTGCTATTCAGGTTT